TCAGGCAATCCACTCACCTCAGCCTCCCAAAGGCGCGGGATTACAGGCTGAGCCACCGAGCCCGGCTTATTTGTGCTTTTAAAGATGACCCACCATTTACTCAGACCCGTCACTACTCCCATCTCTCCCACAGTTGCCCTCACCCAGAAACATGATGGTATAGACAAGATACATCCAGTCAAGTGGCAGTGGGTGCAGGGCATCCAGCAAGGGGAAGCGGCACACGTCCAGCCCATCCAGGTACCTTCGGTCCAGGGAGCTGAGCCCCCGCTCCTGGGGAATGTCCAGCACCATCAAGAACCCTGGGAAGGAAACAGGGGAGGGGGTCACTAGGCCTCAGCCAAGGAAGCAACAGATACAGAGCTCACAGCTGAGCATGCCCAGACTCAGGGTCAGCCTTCTCTTCTAATTCTGGCTCTGCCATTGATTCTGTATTAATTACGGAGTGCCTGCTCTGAGTATGGCACTATGCCAGCTGTGTCACTGGGACCAGCCCCTGCAGCAAAGTGAGCCAATTCCCCATTTGTGAAAAGGGGGCTCGTGAAAGATCACAGGATTACAAAGAGGATTAAATGAGAGAAATGTACAAAATGCCACAGAAACTGTGAGGGTTTCAGTGTCTATCTATATATACATATTGTTTGAGTTGGAGTCTCACTCTGCCGCCCAGACTAGAGTCCAGTGGCATGCTCCCGGCCACAACAGCCTCGACCTGCTGGGCTCCAGCTATCCTTCTGCCTCAGCCTCCCCAGTAGCGGGAACTATAGGTGTGTGCTACCATGCCCCGCTAATTTTTGATTTATTGTAGAGATGAGGTCTCGAACCCACGGGCTCAGGTAATCCACCCGCCTCGGCCTCCCAAAGTGCTGGGATTACAAGCTGAGCCACTGAGCCCAGCCTCAGTATCTATATTTATAAAGATCCATCCTACTGAGTTTCAGAGAGTGATTTAGGGGTGCTTCTCAACCTTTCTTGCTTCCTGGCACACCCAGAAAACAGTAGTATTTGGCCAACACACTGGGAGAAACAGAAGGAGCTACTCAGATCAGTAGCCAGCCTGGGATAAGGCGGAGTTTCTCAGCCTTAGAACTAGTCCTCTTTTGGGCAAGTCAATTATTTGTTGAGAGGGTATGCAATGCACTATAAGACATCTAGGTGGTCAGGAGCGGTGGCTGATGCCTATAATACCAGAACTTTGGGAGGCTGAGACAAGAGGATTGCCTGAGCCTGTGGGTTTGAGACCAGCCTGGGCAACTTGGTGAGATCTTGTCTCTACAATAAATCAAAATTTAGCCAGGTGTGGTAGCATGCACCTGTAATTCTGGCTATTTGGAAGGTTGAGGCAGAAGGATCGCTTGAACCCAGCAGGTCGAGGCTGCAGTGACCAAGAGCAGCGTGCCACTGCACTCCAGCCTGGGCAACAGAGTGAGACTCCAACTCAAAAAAA